TTACTCTCTGAGACCACCCCTCTGGCAATAAGCTTTTTTTCGATCCGCCCATCTTGCACCGCCGCAGCAATACCTGCGGGACACGCCGCCCGACCACTTCCTGCCGGGAAGACTTTCGACAAGACTAAATTCCCGACACTCATAAACAGATCTTTCCACATCCTATGCCCGGATGTATTTTTCCAAATAACTAAAACCAGTTACTCCCTACACTCACCCACACTCACTAAGACCCCTTGGATTTTCCCGGTGGTATTATTGTGTAGAATTCCTCCCATGCTTCTCTCTCTACATTGGTGGTGTGTAAAACCCACACACATAGCTAGGCAATGTGAACTCCTTTATAGCCAAAAATATCCACACATCACATGCATCCATATCATGCATCACTAAGAGACAAGAGAGAACACATCCTCCCACATGCATTAGTGCATATGCATGTTCCTTTCTTTTATTTTCTTTTTCTTCTTTGTCCTCTTCCTTATTTTTTTTCTTTTCTTTTGATTATTAATCAATTTCCCAACAAACTCCACCTTGATTAAATAATCAAAAATTTTGTAGCTCCACCTCACTTGTTCCGTGAGATCATCGCTACCCCCAAAGAAAAAATTACCTTAGCTCCATCTCGATTTGTTCTTCAAGATCACCGCCAACCTCAAAGAAGACAAAAAATACCTCGTGTGTTAAAAAGAGTATCCCACATCGGAACTTGGAGAGAAAATAAACCGGTAAATAAGCCCTTGAGTTGAACTAACTAATCGATTGAATTCAATCTTTTAATGTGGTTCAACCCAAGTGTCTTATTGCCCAATCCAGTTGTCCATACCCATCCTAAATTCTATCATGGTATCAGAGCAGGTTTTGCCCACCTCGTTTGTCAAGGTGTCCGTCTAGACGTTCATTCCTAGCGGCCCGTTAGTCTTTAGCCCAGTTGTGTGTATGGAGTATGTACCCAATGGCCTGTGGCCCGTTTAACCCGATTGTACGTCTGGAAGTCCATACCCAGCATCTCGTGGTCCTTTAGGTGTTGGCGCTAAAAAAAAATCAAGGGGATGGGAGTCCATTTGCAAGTGGTCAACCGGTTAGATTCAAAATGGCCCGGTTGTCCACTTGAGGGGGAGTGTTAAAAAGAGTATCCCACATCGAAACTTGGAGAGAAAATAAACCGGTATATAAGCCCTTGAGTTGAACTAACTAATCAATTGAATTCAATCTTTTAATTTGGTTCAACTCAAGTGTCTTATTGCCCAATCCAGTTGTCCATACCCATCCTAAATTCTATCATTGTCAAGGAACCAACTCAACCAAAAGCTCAAGCTTGTGGTTGTGGACTAAGAATGATTCTTATATACTCTAACACGCCCCCTCACGTGCAGGCGTGACCTCTTTAGGCCTTGCATGTGAAACCTTAATTTTTTTTAAATTGGATGGTGGTGAGTTTCGAACTCGTGACCTCTTGGTCATCAAGGCTCTGATACCATGTCAAGGAACCAACTTAACCAAAAGCTCAAGCTTGTGGTTGTGGCCCAGGAATGATTCTTATATACTCTAACATCGTGGCTCCACCTCGATCAAACCACCAATATCACCACCACCATGGATTTTTTTTTCCGTGAATCTATCTTGCTCCAAGTCCACAAGATCTCCACAACCATGTGTTGCCTTCATGGCTCCACCTTTCTCAATACCACAAGATCCTCACCGTTTCCAGTTATCGCTGTACCCGTGGCTCCATCTCAACCAACCCGTCAAGATCACCGTCACTACCTTAGCTCCTTAGGGTTTTAACCCTCCACCCCGAGCAAAAAAAAATGACAACTCACCTTTGTTAACATGCGCTCTCTGAGACCACCCCTCTAGCAATAAGCTTTTTTCCAATCTATGTATAGCTTCCCATACATCTGAATAACATATCACTAATCTTTTGCAAGTGGGTATTTGGTCAACAAATCGAAGTAGCCCATTACAGCATCTCCATTGTGGTGTAAAAATTCAAATTCTTAATTGTCAACCTACAAAAGACAAAGAGCCCTATAAATTTAATACCAAATTCAAAGTCAATATTATTATATCACGTAAATTTCATAACCAATGACAAATGTCTTGATGAATGAAGAAATTTTGTGTCAAATACTTCATTACTATAAATAATGGATAGTTCTCTAAATGCAGAGAATGTCTCACGCCAACTATAAAAATATTCTTCTCATGATTAGCTATATGGTTGCACATTGTAGATATTGGTATCTAGAGTCGTAATAAAGAATAATGAAGTAGCTCATAAGAGGGCATGATAGAAATTATTCAAAATTGTATTATATACTAATTCATATCAAGATTAAAAACATGTACTCAGTGTCTGGTTCTACCAGCAGTCCAGCACCATTAGCTGAAAATTAAGCGAATTAATTTACCTCTTCTACTCTTCATAACCTCGTTTCCAATTCATGAACCCCAAGAACTTATAAACTCTAGCACCATAAAGAAAGAAGAAACATCTAAGAATAACTAAAAATATAGTAACATGAGTTCAAGGATTAAAACACAATTTCAAATCTTGAAGGATGAAAAAAGATTAGTAATAAGTTCCTTTTTTATGATAATATTTCCTTGTTTCATCTAGCATTACAAAGTAGTCCAATAATCTATTGCGTAGAAAGAAGAATATAAAACCTTTCAAATGAATGAACAACTGTAGGTGATAAGATTTTGAGCTAATTTAGAAGAGAGAAACCTCCAAGGCAGGGGCTGATCAACAGAAGATAGATAGAGTACAAAATTAATGGAAAAGCTCAAATATTGAAGAAATTAAAATGTATCATAAAAGCATAAATAAAAAAATAACAATTTGATAGATGTTAATCCTTTTAAAGAACCATGTAACAAATTTGATGATAAATCCAATCCCCATGTACCAAAAGAAATCTTTCATGGAAGTGAAATTGTCCCATAGAAAAAATCAGATGCCTTTACAGCTTGACGCCCTTCCTGACCATATAAAATCAATTTGCTATAGACAATATATTTCATAAAATTCTCCAGCAAACTAATGAGGAGCACCATATGTTTTAAAAGAAAACAAGTTGTAAAAAAAATGAAATAACATTAAACTTCACACATAAACAATCACAACAAAAACAATTTTTTTTGCTTAAATAAAATGCTGCCAATATATCCCCACCTTACAAATGACAGCAATTTAGTAATTTACCTCTGTAACCAACGGGCTGAGTAGTTTCTTGGTTCTTGACACATTGCTCTTGTTTGTATGCTCCTATTAAAAAATAACCCACGCAAAAACAAAACTCAAACATGTATTTTTAAATGAAATTAGATATTGAAGGATCTTCATTGCCTAGTTCTAAAAGTTTCATTTTGGGGTTGAAATTCATATTCCATGTCTGTTTCATACACATGACAAATTCTCCTATATTCGATAAACAATCAAACACATTATGTGCATTTAATTTTAAATTCACGAAAACATAACATCAAATTTAATTAAACATTGGCTCACCCCTTAGATCTACATTTACCAATTTATAGAATTCCATCTTCTTCCAATATCGCAAGTCACAACCCAAATCCTCACTTGCTGTTGGCACCCAAATCTCATCATCATGTCATTCTACAAAACATTCTCCACTTTAGAGGAATTTATCATTTTGCGGGGTAGGTGTATGTATTAAGTTTGTTTGTTTTCGCAAAATGATGGTTATCCGACTAACTACATTACGAGTTTACCATTCATTGATATCAAGAACCATCCTTGAACATAGCCTTATATGATATGCCACTTGAGTCCTATTTATTGGTTATCTTGGTTGGTAATTTAAAATCCTTTAGGCGTGTCATAGTAACACTTTTGTTTCTTTTTAGGGCCTTTGGCATACAAAAAAAAGAAAAAAAGACTTTAGTTTCTTTTTAAAGTTGAAAGAATGTATTCTAGAGAAAGATGGTCTACGTAAAGTTACTTAGAACAAGAACAAAGCAATCTAAGATCTATATTTGTTCCTTAGAGTAACTCTCATATATGACTCAGAAAGTGTTTGCAATAAAATAAATTAAATAACAAGAATTAATGTACACTTCATTTGTCCCATATAAAACATTTCATTTTTTGTCCAAAAGAGGTCTTTATTGGTTCATTTCATTATATAAAAATCAATGAAATATCCTCTTTTTTTCACTAAAGCTAATTTCTCATTTTCTGTTCATCAATTTTATATCGTTTCTTCTATTTTAATCAAAATTAAAATTATAAAAAAGAAAAGTATATAAAAAATGCTTTTATAGAATAGGGAAAATTAAGTAAAGAAGAAAATCTTTTGCGCATTGGTCCAAAAAATGTTATTAATATATAATTAACTACATATTAAAAAAATATATTGTGTTGAATTTTATATCCTCCGTCCCTGAAAACCTTTCTCCTTTCTTTTTTCATGCGTCCCAAAAAACACTTCTTATTTCTATAAAAAAACTCACTTTTACCCCTTACTTTTTCATACCCTACCTATCACATCATACTTTTTTACTAATAATCTATCCATCAAATCCTACTTTTACCCATCACATCAAAGGACATTTTTGGAAATTCAATACTAAAATACACTCCCCTTAAATATCTTCAAAATAAAAAAATCACATGTTTAAAGGGACGGAGGGAGTACTATTTATTTCATTTTCTTATTAAAAAAGAGAAGAAAAAATGGAAAAGGTGCGTTGTAGAAGTAAACTATCAAGTAAAGCCCAAAATTGAAATAGATGGTAATCTGTAACACCCCGAAACCCGGTCTATCAAAATTAATTAATTAGAAATAATTAATTAATTATTGAGACGAACATGGGTTTAATTAGGAAAACTTGTCAATTAATTATATAAACTATATTGTTGTGTAGAGTTGGACGAGACAAATCAAACAATGCAATTGGATTTGGTTTTAGAACAAGTTAGTCTGGAAAGTTAGTTTTTTTTAGGTAAATTAACTAATCACGGAGCACGAAACCCTATAATTACAAATACCAATTCCACATGTGGTTAACACACGTACGCCGCACATACTCGACTCTCTCTTTCTGTCTCACGTCTCTCTGTGTCAATCCAACCTAATGGTAAAACACAGAAGGAAGAAGAAGAAGGTCGCATGTAGTAGTTAATCTTTCCTCGAATTTGAGGTGAGTACGTAGAAACCTAACGCTAGATTATACATATTGTTTTGAAACTTACATTCATGATCTCGTTATGATTCATATACATGAAAACTCGTATGTTTGAGAATTTGGGCATTGTTGGTAAATTGAACATGTACAAGACATGATTAGGCGTTACTTAATCATTTTTTTACGTATATGAAACCTATGGATGATGTTGAATTGATGTATATGTTTATCGGTTTAAATTGGGGTTTCCAAAGGGTTTTTTCTGATCTGTCTGCAAATGCACCAGGTCTGTATCGCATTAGACAGTAGCGGCTTAATTACCACAAGGTGGTATTCGGATACCGTCCTAATCTAGTCTCTCTGTGGAACCAACTTATGAGTCGATACCTTTCCATCGATTGACGGTAGTGTCCTACCATTTTTTGGTATGTAGTACTACTAACATCACAAGGCCAACAAAATAGGGTTCTGGTTGGTAGCCGACTATCGGTCCTACTAGTGACCTAGCGGGTGGAGATACCAAGGTACTGTTACCATCACGATTTGGACAATATGCATGTTGTCTGTTATTCTAACGTCAAGAATGGATTGGAAGACCTTGTGTGTTGTATGACGTTAAGTGTGGGCCTCAACAACCAAAACTAGCTCATTGTGTGTGTATTATGACTGATCATGGTTTGATATTCATAAATGCTTATGTACGAGATAGTGTCATGTGGTTCCTGCTAGACCTAATGGTAGTCTGGGTAAAAATGTTCTATAAATTTTCGTGCCAAAGGGGACATGGATCTCACCCACCCAACGAGGAATTCCTCTATTTGTTGAGCTAGCGTGACCTTCATTCCGAAGGGGAAGTTCATGACTCCTAAATTATGAACAAATAAGTTTTATCCTAAAATAGGTTATTAGCCCGAAATGAATATAAGTCATTAACTACAGTAACACGAAAATATAATAGCTATATTTGCTATGATGAATACTGTTATGTAATGTATGTGATCTTGCTTATATTATCCTTGTGTGCATAAGATCATAGGATGGTTATGAGCTAGTGAGTTCTTTTATATATGTGATCGAATGTTAGATATTTCTCACTCAGCGTCATTGCTAGGAGTGTAGTGTGTTTATTTTGCTATACGTAGGTAATCAGGTTCAAGATCAATCTGGAACCAATCTTGGAGGGCAATGAAAATGAGTATATATATATATATGTGTGTGGGCCTATCTGATGATTTTGAGTTTCTATTTATTTAAAGTTTACTTATTGCTTTTTCAAGCATAACTCCCAAGTCAGGTTCAAGATGAATTTCGAAGCAATCCCGGAGGGTGATGAAGATGCGGAGATGTGTATGGGTTAGACGTCAGCTACAAAATGAGCAGTGGCGTGTTATTTTCTCTATGAGGTGTCATTTTCTCTTTTATTTTTCTTAGCTACAGCTGGCTTGTATATAAAGCCTTGGACTCTTTTTCTCTGTGATGTGATGGAATAATAAACAATAAGCAGCAATTTTCTCTTTACGGTTATAACAGACTCTTTCTTCTACGTTTGAATCTCCCATGGAGATTCTGAGATTCATCTTCTTCTTCACGATTCCATTCTTGTTTTGATAAAAAAAATCAACATGGTACCAGAGCTATCTACTCGATTCTAGGTACGATTTCTTCTGGTTGTTCTGTGGTTTCTGAATCTCAGTCCGTCTTCCTCTCGTCCCTGTACCTAACGAATTCATAACCCTAATTCATGGCTGAAAACACTGAGAATTCTACGACCTCTACCATAAGCCCGTCAAATCCGTTGTATTTGCACCCTTCTGATCATCCTGGGCTGAATATGGTATCTAAACGTTTTGATGGGGAAGGTTTTGGACCATGGCAAAAATCCATGTCCATAGCATTATCAACCAAGAAAAAACTGGAATTTGTTAAAGGAAATGTTGAGAAACCTGTTGATGATCCTCTTCAAATCAGTGTGTGGCAAAGATGCAATGATATGGTCACGTCTTGGATTCTTAATGCTCTTAGTAAAGACATAGCAGACAGTGTTTTATATGCAAATTCTATAATGGAGATCTGGACTTAGTTGAATGAACGTTTTGGCCAATGTAATGGTGCTAGACTATATCAATTGCAGAAAGAAATTTGTTCTACAGTGCAAGGGAGTTCTGACATTTTGTCCTATTTCACTAAACTTAAAAGGACATGAGATGAACTCAACATTGGTTCTAATCTCCCTCAATGTACTTGTGGAGTTGTACATGCCTTAGTGAAACATGAACAGGATCAGAGGCTTATCCAATTCATGATGGGACTGAATTCTAAGTATAACACCATCAGTGGAAACATTTTGGTAATGAGGCCCTTACCTTCTGTTATAGAAACTTACAGTTTATTAATTCATGAAGAAAGGAAAAGGGAGATTCAGGCTGCTTCTCCTCTCATAGCAGATTATGCTGCACTCAATGCTACAACTCAAAACAACTTCAAACATGGAAACAACCAGGGGGGGGAAGGAGGATACAAAGGCAAGTTTGATTACAAGAAATCAGTCACATGTGAGCATTTTAAGAAACCTGGCCACACAGCAAACAAGTGTTATAGGCTTGTGGGTTTTCCCAAAGACTTCAAGTTCACCAAAGGAAGGAAAATTACAGCACATACCATGTCTGAAGAAGAATCAGTTGAAGAAAATGGAAATAACAAGAACCATGATGAGTTGTTTAATTAGTTCATTCACTTCATGAACTCAGTTCAGCTTGGAAAACAAGATGTTGATAGAGGATCTAAATCTCATGCTTTCTCTGCTCACATGGCAGGTATAACCCTATCTTTTTCTAAGTCTTTGAGTCCACATTTGTGTAATACTGTGTTGTCAATTGTTGATCATGATTGGATTTTAGATACTGGAGCTACGAATCATATGTGTGGAAACATCAACCTTTTGATTAAACTTAAATCCTTGCCTGCCCCTCAATTCATCAGCTTACCCAACAATCATAAACTCACTGTTTTCAAGTTTGGGAAAGTCATAATACATGATGATCTCAGTCTAGATGATGTCTTGTTTGTTCCCACTTTCAAATACAACTTGTTATCTGTGGGAAAGTTATGTGATCAACTTGAAGCAATTGCCAGTTTTACTCAGAACCTTTGTATTCTACAGGGCCCTTCAATGAAGAGGCCACTAGTTCTTGGTAAAAAGAGTGGAGGACTCTACATCTCAACTGGAAAATCTGATTCTCAGAAGACATCTTATCCATCTGATAATGTTTCTCATGATAGTTTCACACACAATAATACTTTGTTTTCTTCTGTTTCTTGTAATTATTCTAGAAAATCTGTGAATGCTCTTATATGGCATATGAGAATGGGACATTTCCCTGGTTACAAATTAAAGTCTGTTGTTCCAGTTGTTTCTAATAATATTGATTGTTTGTCAACATGTGATGTCTTCCCTAGGGCTAGACAACATAGGTTACCCTTTCCTCATAACCAAATCCACACTCATCATACATTTGAGCTGATCCACATAAATATCTGGGTTCTTACCATACCAAAACTCACAATGGGTCATCTAATTTCCTCACCATTGTAAATGATATTTCCAAAGCCACTTGGACATATCTTTTGTCTGCCAAAAGCAATGCACCAGACTTAATTCAGTCTTTTGTTAACATGGTCTACACACAGTTCAATGTACTAATTAAGAGCATTAGATCAGACAACCAATGCTTTGGAATTAGGCAAACGCAAACCTCTTTTACAGTTCTTCTCTGCCAAAGGCATCTATCATCAAACCAGTGTCAGGAATACACCCCAACAGAATGGTGTAGTTGAACGAAAACACAAACATCTTCTAGAAACTTCTAGAGCCTTACTTTTTCAATCCAATCTTCCTTTATCATTTTGGGGGGAATGCATTCTAAAAGCTACATACCTCATCAATAGATTCCCTTCAAAACTGTTGAAAAGAAAAAGTCCATATGAAATTATCTTTGGAAAAGTCCCTCACTATGAACATTTGAGAGTGTTTGGATGTCTCTGTTATGTAGCCACTCAAAAGAAAGGCAGACACAAATTTGCAGAAAGGTCATCAGCTTGTGTTTTTATAGGTTACCCCTATGGGAAGAAAGCCTATAAAGTGTACAATCTTTCCACCAAGAAAATAGAAGATTCTAGAGACATCATCATTCATGAGACCATATTTCCATTTCATAATCACCAATCTCCTGAACCATATTTTCCTTCACCCATTCATTCTGAATATTTCCTTGAGGATGAATCATCTTCCATTTAATCCATTCATATTCAATCTCCTGCTTCCCAACCTCACATTCCAACAGGTACCATATTGTTGATACCATTCTTCTTCTACTTCTCAAGATACTGTTCATCCCCTTCTTCTTCTTCTTCTTCTCAAGACACTTCTACTCCTCATATACCAACTGTTGATACAATACCCCAAAATCCCACCAGACAATCTAAAAGACTCCACACAACTCCATCTTATCTGAAAGACTACATTTGTTACTCTTCCATATCTTCTAATTGTCATTCATATGATATTGCACCAAGTCAAACTCCCATATTTTGTTTTCATACTGTGACCTCAATCCCTTCCAAATCCCACATGTGTTCTAATGTTATAACTCAATCTAGTCAACAGTTGTTGCATAGTGTTTCTCAAATACAGGAACCCAGATCTTATGAAGAAGCTAGAGGTGACCTTGCTTGGTAAGAAGCCATGAACAAAGAAATCCAAGCTCTAGAAGAAACAGGAACTTGGATAGTCAGCCCACTTCCTAAATGGAAGAAAGCTATCAGCAGCAAGTGGGTTTACAAAATTAAGTACAAATTTGATGGAGTTTAGAAAGACATAAAGCCAGGGTGGTCATTAGAGGATGCACTCAGAAAGTAGGTATTGATTACAATGAAACTTTTTCCCCAGTGGTAAAAATGACCACTATAAGGTGTTTATTGGCTGCAGCTGTAAAACACAAATGGTTAATTTTCCAATTAGATGTGAACAACGCCTTTCTTTATGGTGATCTAGATGAGGACATTTAAATTATATGAAACCACCACCTGGTATTCCTATGGCTGATTCAACTCAGGTGCTGAAACTTAAAAAATCTCTCTATGGGTTGAAACAAGCTTCTAGACAATGGTATGCCAAACTTTCCAGTGTCTTAAGATCCAAAGGTTACCTCTCTTCTAAAAATGATTATTGCTCCCTTTTCACCAAAAGGACAAATTCTGGTGTTGTGCATCTTGCCATATATGTAGATGGCATCCTTATCACAGGAAGTGTCCTCACTGAAATTCATGATCTGAAATATTACCTTGATACCACATTTAAAATCAAAGACCTGGGTTGTTTGAGTTATTTTCTTGGGCTAGAAGTTCTCTATCATGATCAAGGAATGATCATAACGCAAAGGAAATCTACCCTTGATCTTCTGGAAGTCTTTGACTCACCTGACACCTCCCTCGCTACATGTCCTTTGGAAGCTCATTTGCAACTTCACTTAGATGATAGTCCCCCACTTTCTGATCCTACTATTTATCGCATGAAGCCTTGTGGGTAAACTCAACTTCCTCACCCACACCAGACCAGACATAGCCTTTGTAGTTTAATTTCTCAGTCAGTTCATGCAGGATCCTAGAGAGTCACATTGGAAAGCAGCTTTACACACTCTGCGTTACCTTAAAGGAAACCCCTCTCAAGGTTTATTTTTCAACTCTGATGATAACTTCAAGCTGGAAGCCTATTGTGACTCTGATTGGGCTTCATGCCCTACCACACGCAGATCAGTCAGTGGTTACTTCCTCATGTTGGGAGGAAGTCCAGTTTCTTGGCGAGAAACAACCCACTGTTTCCCTCAGCTTTGCAGAAACTGAATACAGGTCTATCAGACGTGTAACAGCTGAACTTGCTTGGCTATCCAAACTTCTATATGAATTTTCCATACCTGGTATCCTCCCAATTCCTGTCAAGTGTGATAGCAAGGCATCCATTTACATTGCAACCAACCCAGTTTATCATGAGAGAACAAAACACATAGAGTTGGATTGCCATTTCGTTCGCGAGAAATTACAAGATGGTATCCTTACTCTCGTCTATGTTTCCACAGAAGACCAGCTTGAAGATCTTTTCACCAAAATCCTGTCAGGCCCTATCCATCAATGTCTTTTATCCAAGTTGGGGGTTCTCCCACCCTCCAAATTGAGGGGGCCGGGGGTGTTAGACGTCAGCTACAAAATGAGTAGTGATGTGTTATTTTCTCTATGACGTGTCATTTTCTCTTTTATTTTTCTTAGCTACAGCTGGCTTGTATATAAAGCCTTGGACTCTTTTTCTCTGTGATATGATGGAATAATAAACAATACGTAGAAATTTTCTCTTTACGGTTATAACAAATTCTGTCTTCTTCGTTCGAATCTCCCATGGCGATTCTGAGATTCATCATCTTCTTCACGATTCAATGCTTGTTTTGATCAAAAAAATCAACAGTATGGGCCTATTTGAATTCTATTTGTTTAAAATTGACTTATTACTTTTTCTGGCATGATTCGCAAGTTGTGTTTTGAATTATGACATAAGCTTTCGCGTTGATTTAAATTACTCCGATAGATATTGGTTTAAAAAGTTTTGAATTAAAGTTTTGAATTATTTGAAAATTTTATATGTTTGGATACCAATATGGTAGCAACTCGGTTCGCTGACCCATGTTACGCGGCTTAAGGTGTTACATAATAACTTCCAAGTCCCACATTATCTTAAATATACTCCATGGTACATTCATTTTTCTACTAAATACTCAGCGTTCTTTATTATTTTTACACAATATACATGCCATTCTGTAACTATGTATAACAGAAACTTGCTTCCTTGAGACGGGAAGAAATTAGGGTTAAATGTTTTTTTTAACCGGGTGAAGTTTAAAGTGTAAATTTGACTAAACCTGCAGGTTAAATGTACGTTCTTGGTCCATATTAACTTTCACTGTTGTTTCACCTTTAGTAATTTTCACGTAATGGATTTATTTCTACCGTGATTGATTGATGCGTGCCTAGTTAATTTGGGCCACACTATAAATAAATAAGGTTTATTGTAAAGCACTTAAGTTAAGTACCATACACCAAATTAAACACTATGAAGTCCCCTCATGGCCATCATCAACCTCTCTTTCATGTACGTGTATATATGTGTAGTCCATATTTCTTAGTTATATTTTTCTCTCAATATATATCTGACGATTAATGTTATATATTTTGATTATATTCTTTTGGTAGCCTAGCCTAGCCTAGCCTATGGTAATTAATGTGGGTGTGATTTAACATTAATTTGTTTTGGTTTTAATGGGTTATATATATAATTATTTACCATGCAGGCCTCGCTAGCTCTGGTGCGGGCATTATTGTTGCTCTTGTGTACTTCATCAAGAATAGGGGAATGCACAAAGGGCGGGCATAATAACAAGAACGAGAAAAGAACGCCGCCACCAGCGGGAGTGTTGGAATACTCAGGAATAAGTTGCCGGAAACACACGGCGTACTTGACGGATTTCGGGGGCGTAGGTGACGGAAAGACCCTAAATACGGGGGCATTCCATAGAGCCGTAGCTAACCTAAGCAGGGTTGCTCCGGACCATGGTGCCATGCTTGTCGTGCCCCCCGGAAGATGGCTCACTGCGCCGTTCTATTTGACAAGTCATTTCACCCTTTACCTCCACAAAGACGCCGTCATTCTTGGCACTCCGGTTAGCTTCTCAATCTTGCCATGCCACACTAAAAAAAATTGATATCACCTCAAATTAAATACTCCCTCCGGTTGTAAGAATTTTTTTTAAAATTATACTACTCCTCCTCAAAAACACTTCTCCTTTAATTTCAATTTTTCTAGCTACTTCCAACAAAATACTTTCAATTTTCATTCAAAAACCACTTTTACCTTACGTTTTCATACCCTACCTATCACATCATACTTTTTCTTTGATAATCTATCTATTACATTTACTTTTGGTGTTATTAGAAGTGTCTACTCTAGCCTTATAGTACGTTCAACAGAAACAATCACCCACGACATTCGGGTTGGCTCACATATAACTTCCACCATGGAACAATTGATGCACAATGGCCACACATAGAAATTATTTTAAGGAATCACACTGAATAGAAGTAAAACATAGAAAAAGTATCAAAATACAAGTTGCATGGTTTTATTCACTCATCAATAAGAATTCGTAATGTGGTAATGTGTCACTGTACATGAGCATTTTGAGAAAATGTACATATATAGTCATATATGATTGATAACGTAATAAATGAATTTTAACTCCTATTTCGGAAATAAAAAAAAATATGAAACTCCTATATTCTGGTATATTTTTAATGTTTTACTCCTATTTTAATATATTTTTTTCAATTTATTTCGCCAAGGGCTTCGTGATCTACCACTGCACGCGCTAGTCTATCCGTTTTTGTGATATACTCGGAGTAGTTTACTTCTCATAAATTACTCCTAGAATTATGGAAATAAATTTATACACATTACTAAAATTTTGGAAATAAATTTTATGAATTTATAGTCATTATTATATGTCTCACCTTTTGAACAGATTTGATCCCTTAAGTGTGCATTGTAACTATTTTTTTCTTCATTTGTTTTTTTTTTGTGAAATTAATTTTCAATTTAATTTAAATAAAAACTAATATAAAAATTATAAAATCATATACTCCATCCTTCTCAAATTAGATTACAGTTTCTCATTTACAATGTAAAACTTCATATTTTTTAAAATTAATGTATTTAAAATTTGGTATATGTAAGAATAATTAATGGCCGTTGATTATAATGACTCTTTTAGTTAGTATGACCATTTTGTTTGTGTACATAGTATTGCTCTTAGTAGAGCTATATTCGTTGATTATGACTAACATTTTCAATGACTGTACAAATATGGTAATTGAAATATATATTTTGAAAATGACTTGCAAATTGATTTTTGTTACTGCCTTACTGTTTCTTTAAAGAAGTAAAGACATTTAGTACTGTAATATGACTTGTTGCATGTGTTAATATGGATATTATGATGAGAGAGTGGAAGATATAATGACTTGAAGCATTTACTGTTTGGATAACTCTTGTTAATTACTCCCTCCGTTCCAAGAAATCTTTCACATTTCAAAAAAACCGTGTTTCCAAAAGTTCTTCCCATTTCTATTAAAAAATCATTTTTACCCCTTACTTTTTCTTAACCTACCTATCACATCATATATTTTTTCTAATAATTTACAGATCACATCAAAGATACTTTTGGAAAATCAACACAAAATAATCTCTCCCTTATTTTACTACTTTAGTCAATATGCACCTATTTTTATGGAACAGAGGGAGTATAAAATAAAGCTACCTACAAAATCTACTACTACAAAATTAGCTAGGATTTTGTATACTTTATGCTTTTGGGTTTCCCATAAAACAAACCATCAAAGAAGAGCAATCCTAGGTTGACAAACAAAATAGTTACAAATTTCACAAACTTACGATTTATAATTTAAATTTCTAATTAAAATTGTTTTGGAGTACTTGATCTTTTCATTGAAGTTCACAAATTGAAAATTTGTAAAGTTTATGACGATTTTGTTTGTGAACCAAACATTTCTAATCAAAGAATTGAATAAGTTCATGAACATATAATGGTAGAGAGAGAACATACATCGTCAGTTTGCACGTGGATTTTATTTTAATTTTAACGTGCGCAGTTAAATTATACTACTCTGTCCCAAAAAGATTTACACGTTTTGACTAAAGTTGAAATTAAGGGATGGATAATTTTATGTTGACTTTTCAAAAATACCGTTGATGTGATGGGTAAAAGTAGGATGTGATGTGTAAATTATTAGGAAAAATGTATGATGTGATAGGTATGGTTTGAAAAAGTAAGGAGTAAAAGTGGTTTTTTAATAGAAATAGGTAGGAGATTGTGGGACGCAATTTTTTTGAAAGGTGTAAATCTTTTTGGGACGGAGGGAGTATTATTCTTAAGGCTAATAGCGGGAATAAAGATAGGGGTTCACCAAAATGGTGTACACTATTTGTACACAAGAGCAACACAGACATTATATGTCTAGAGACACATAATGCCTTTGTTGCTCTGGTACACAAATGATATACACCATTTTGGTGTACCACTAGCATTCCCCTAATAGCTGACTGTGACATTAGTATTTGAAGAAGAATTATTTTCATTGATTAAATTGTGAGGAGAGTACATGTATATATACAAAAGTCTTAATCCTAATTAAGGTAGGAGAGACAATCTAGGAAACCTAAACAAATATGGTAACAATAATAATACAATAATATTAAATATATTATATATATTTAACATGCTCCCGGCTACATCGGCAGTGCTGGGGGTCGGATACCCAGGCTTTCTCTGAAGTCAAGAAATAATTGTGAGGGCAGTCCCTTTGTGAAGATATCAGCAAACTGAGAAGATGACGGAACATGCAGGACTTTGATCTGACCGAGCGCCACCTTATCACGCACAAAGTGTATGTCAACCTCGACGTGCTTGGTGCGCTGATGCTGCACCGGGTTTGACGAAAGGTAGACCGCACTGACATTATCACAAAAGACAAGTGTGGC